GTTTTTGTTGGAAAAGCGATCCAGCTTTGTGGTCTATTAATGAAGCTACACGTGATTATGTTGCCAAGTATGGGTTCGAACAAAACAAAAACGTTGACTTTTCTAAATCAAGGAAAGAGTACAATGATGGTAACATTTGTTACTTAACGTCGAATATGTTTGAGTATACGCATATCAGTAAAGAAAAAATGCCTGCAAGTGGCTTGTTTACTCTGAGAGCAATGAAACTGTTTTCTGCGGTGTTTGTATATTGTTTTCAAGCAATTCAGAAGTAAGGACAAAATTAACATCGGAGAGATTCAATGATTGGAAAAATGCGCATACCACATTAAAAGAACACGAAAATTCTACATGTCATAGAAACTGTACGTCCGCATTGAAAAATAGACAGCGGACTGAAAACCAAGTGAATAAGCAGCTGCTTGAACAAGTTGAAACCGAGGCAACTTATTGGAGGAATGTTCTTGAGCGTGTCATTTTAGTAATAAAAAGTCTTGTTTCAAGAGGGCTTCCTTTGAGAGGACATGTCGAAAAGTTGGGACATACTTCAAAATTTAGTAGATGAAGGATCCAGTACATTCTCTTTGAAATGTCTTTCAATTACGCGCTGGTCAGCGCGAGATGATGCATGTCAGGCTCTAAAACATCGTTTCCAAAATGTCTTAGATGCCCTTCAAATTATATCTGATGATTCTACGCAAAAACCATCAACGCGTGCGGAAGCTAAAGGTCTCATTGTTGCTTTAAATCGTCTTGAAACTGCTATTATGACCGAGGTTTGGGGATTCATTTTAGACCGCTTGAATGCGTCGAACAAGCATCAGCAAAAAGTCGATATCGATTTAAGTTCCGTGGTTGGTATTTACACTTCGCTTGTAGAACTTTTAAAACCGAAGAGACAATTTTGAACTTTTTGAAGAGAAGGGTAAGAACAACGAGTTAGAGATATCTCTAACTCGTTGGGTAAGAAGCTATCAAATACTGAAACGTACGAATCAGAAAACAAAAGAAAAGGAAACGTAAAATGCAATGTGATGAAACTAACGAGAATGCAGCAGAACTGACCGCACGAGACAAGTTTAAAATCGACACTTATTTGGTTATTGTTGATAAGTTACTCGCAGAATTGAATAAGAGACTTGAAGCGTATAAAGATGCACATGACAAATTTAAGGCTGTCATTGAAATAGAAAAATTATCTTTGATAGATTTGGAAAAAGCAGCGATATTTTTGTTTACAATTTTTCCAATATCTTGAAGAATCGCTTGTTTCTGAGCTTATACATTTAAGTTCGTATTTAAAAATCCTTGACGAAGATGTTAAGCCAACAAATCCTGCAGCTTTATTAAAGTGGTTACGGAAAGAAGAATTAGAATGTATTTATCCTAACGTTGACATTGCACTTCGAATCTTTTTATGTATTCCGGTGGCCTATTGCACAGCTGAACGTTCATTCTCTTGTTTAAAAAGGTTAAAAAATATTTACATTCTACAATGACAGAGTATCGACTGAAATCCTTAGCGTTATTGTGTATCGAAAAAAATTATCTCAGCTTTTTAGATTATACTATAATTATTTATGAATTTGCTCACCAAAAGGCACGTCGCAAAATTTTACATCAATAGACAAATTACCTATAATTAATAAAACGTTATTTCAACTGTATAAAAAAAACCATCCAAAAAGTTAATTGTTATATTCCTTGTTTGTAATGGTAAATCGAAAATTATAAAATATGTTAGAATGTCGTAATATTCTAATCGGTCAGTTGTTGTAAATAAAAATCTATCACATTCATATTTAATACAAGCTGTTTACTTGTCTACTTCATTAGAGTATATCTTATGATTTCAGAAGTATATGAATCTGAAAGTAAGGCCCGTTGACGAAAGAAAACAGCAAGAAAACATGTTGCAATTCTAGTTGTCATGTTTTAGTTTCCTTTGAATGTTAACGTTTCAGTATTGAAACGTTAATAATGTTGAACGTTATTTGCTATGGAGATACAGTTTAAAACCAAAATTAGCTAATCCAAAAAAATTATTTAATTTATGAAAACAATGTGCAACATGTAATGTTACTTTTAAAGTTAAAACGTTCAAATCAATGAGGAATTGTTACTGAAACGTTTTCAATTTGAAATGT